GGCAGCACTGGAGTCCCAGTCCTCGGAGCTGCGGGAGCGACTGGCAGGACTGGAGGCCGAGGTGCGGGTGGCCCGGCAGGAACGGGATGAGTGGCGCGGGCGCCACGAAGGCCTGGTGCGCAACCATGACAAGCTGGCACTGCTGCACGAGCGCCAGGGTGCCGAGCTGGAGGGACTGCTGAGCAAGCAGGCCAGCCTCAAGGGTGCACTGCGGGCACTGGAGCAGGAGCACCGACAGCTGCAGGACAGGTAACTAGAGAGGCTGGGGACACCAAGCCAGGTAACACCCCCCAGGCAGGGGTGGGGGACATGTGGCTGTGATGGGCCAGGTAACCCCAGGGAACATGGGGAGTTGCAGGGCCAGGAACCCTGGGGAAGCACGGCTGAGAGGGCCTAAGAGGGCAGCACATCAGGCTATCCTTTGGAAGGTGTCTTGGCTCTCCAGGGCTTGGTACTCCCAGTCCCTCTGGGAGCAGCTCTGTTATGTGCTGAGTCTGCAGCTCTATCTGCCCAGGGCTGGGGCTTGGCTCCAGCATCCCCTGAGCTCCCAGTGGCTCTCCAGCCCATCCCACTGAGTTCAGAGGAGCTTTATACCTTCAAGGGAGCCAGTCCCCAGGGTGGATCTGCAGCAACCTAGCCAAGCCCAGCCCAGCCCAGCCTGTTCAGAGTAGGGATGTTAAATATGGGTTAACTGAATAGTCCATTAACCTCATGAATTCTTATCGGTTAGTCGACTATTCTATAGTCCCTGGGGACGAGGCTGGCAGCCAGTGCGCTCCAGCCCCCACTCCTGAGGAGCCCCCTGCCATCCTGCGCTGCTGCCTCTGTATCAGAGGCCGCAGCATGGGGTGGCAGGTGGGAGGCGGTCCATGAGGGGAGCCAGGTTTAAAACCAGCTCCTCTTGCAGAACAGCTGCCTGTCACCCCGTGCTGCAGCGTGGGGTGGCAGCAGCCCCTGTACGGGGGGAGGTGCGGGGCTGAGCTCCCAGACCCCGTGTGAGCCAGAACTGAGCCGGTCTGCCTGCCCGCCTGGCTCCTAATACAGTTTAAATGCTGAGCTGCAGCAGGGGTGGGTCCCGGACCTGGCATGAGCCAGTACTGAGCTGGGCTGCTGACCAGCCTGCTAAAAATTTACCAGCAAAGGCCGGGGGGCAGGGAGGAGGGAAATGCATGTAGTCGATAGCATTAATCTATAAGCTTTTGCTTATCCATTAACTGACTACCCTATTACATCCCTAGTTTGGAGCAAGCAACGTTTATTTATCCACTGGAACCCAGCATTAAAGAGCCCCTGTCAGGTTGGGGAAGCCAAGCTTAAACCAGAGAGCATGGGAGCAGACTGGCTTCACCTCACAGCTTTCTGCAGAGGGAGGAAAACTGGGCTAGGGCAATGCTAGCTAGACCTGGGGTTCTGGGGCCAATTAGTGAGGCCTCGGCCTAGTTAGGGGACTGTACTGGTGGCCTAACTCTAGGAGTGAGTGTGAATTACTAACCGTCAGGAAGCTCATCCCAAGTCCCTTCCTTAGTGCAAAAGGGGCTGTGAACCATTCCCCCCCCGGGGGGTTTGTGCTGAAGGCTGCACTTAAAAATTAGATCGACTCAACTCCTAGGGAATCTTCAGATCTGAGGAATGTTGTGCCCTGAGCACTGGAGTTAGGTCACGTAATCCCCCAGGGCAGCCGCAGCAAGTCTATGGAAAGAATTTTCCATCAACCTAGTGGCCCTCTTGCAGAGAGCTGAGTTCATTACAGCAACAAAACACCCTCCTGGGGATGTAGGAAGCACCTGCGCTCTGGCGCTGTGGGACCCAACTGTCGTGCAGACATGGCCGGAGTGAGGGCGACCCAGTTAACCTACTCTGTAGATGCAACTAAGTGGATAGAATTCCCTCAGCCTAGCTCTTACTTCTGGGGGTGGGGGGTATTACTGCATTGATGGACACCCCCCTTCTGACTTCCCGCTGTCCTTGTCACTGCTTGGCTTGCGCTGTCCACACTGCATCTCCAGGGTCCTCCATTTGCCTGGGTTGATCTCATCCACTCTTGGATCACGCACCTAGCTTAGACAGGCCTCTATGGCTCACAGCTGTCCTTTTGCTCTCTGCCCTAAGAAACTGGCCACCCCCTAGGAGGGAGGGGCTAATACCAAGTGAGTGAGGAAACTGAGTCACAATGTAATTCATTCAAGGATGATAGTAATTCCTACCGTATTTTCCGGCGTATAGGGCGACTGGGTGTATAAGACGACCCCCTATCTTTTTAATTAAAAGATAGGGTTTCATCTTATACCCCAGCGCCCCTCCGCCTCCTTTGCTCCCGGTGTCCCTGGTCTGCTGGGGCTAATACCAAGTGAGTGAGGAAACTGAGTCACAATGTAATTCATTCAAGGATGATAGTAATTCCTACCGTATTTTCCGGCGTATAGGGCGACTGGGTGTATAAGACGACCCCCTATCTTTTTAATTAAAAGATAGGGTTTCATCTTATACCCCAGCGCCCCTCCGCCTCCTTTGCTCCCGGTGTCCCTGGTCTGCTAGAGATGGTCCCCAGCAGACCAGAGGCACCGGGAGCAAAGCCGCAGCAGCTTTCAACGCCGCGGAGGGGCT